CCAGAGGAGGTGACGGAGGCGTCTGCTTGTCCAATTTTGTGGGATTCTTTTAGGCTTGTTCTTCCTGAAACCGTAGAAGAGGTCCTTGGGGCTGTGAGGGCGACCACCTCGTCTCTAGACCCGTGCCCATCTTGGCTCATTAAATCGGCCAAGGAGGGGCTGGTTGATTGGTTTGTGTTGATCATTAACGCATCGTTGGAACAAGGGACTTTTCCATCGAATCTGAAGCAGGCTGTGGTTCGGCTACTCCTTAAGAAGGCTTCCCTTGACTCCACGGTGCTGAGCAATTACAGACCGATCTCCAACCTCCCTTTTTTGGGTAAGGTGCTGGAGCGGGTGGTGGCCTCCCAGCTCCAGGGCTTTTTAGATGACATCAACTACCTAGATCAGTCACAGTCTGGTTTCAGGCCTGGTCCATGGCACCGAGACAGCCTTGGTCGCCTTGGTGGATGACCTCCGCAGAGAACTGGACAGGGGGAGTGTGACTCTGCTGGTTCTCTTGGACATCTCAGCGGCTTTCGATACCATCGATCAGGGTATCCTTCTGGGTCGTCTCTCTGGGATGGGCCTTGGGGGCTCGGTTCTGTCGTGGCTCCGGTCCTTCCTGGAGGGAAGATGGTGAAGCTGGGAGATGCCTGCTCGGACCCCTGGCCTTTGACCTGTGGGGTCCTGCAAGGCTCCATTCTGTCTCCCATGCTTTTTAACATCTACATGAAACCGCTGGGAGAGGTCATCCGGAGTTTTGGAGTTGGGTGCCACCTCTATGCGGATGACACTCAACTCTACTACTCATTTCCACCCAACTCCAAGGAGACCTCTCGGGTGCTGGACGCTGTGTCTATCTGGATGAGGACGAACAAGCTGAAGATCAATCCCGACAAGACAGAGGTCCTCCTGGTCGATCGCAAACCGGATCGGGGTATAGGATGGCAACCTGTGTTGGACGGGGTTACACTCCCCCTGAAGTCACAGGTCCGTAGCTTGGGAGTCCTCTTAGATTCAATGCTCACGTTTGAGGCTCAGGCGTTGTCGGCGGTGTCCGGGAGGGCTTTTGCACAACTGAGACTTGTGCGCCAGCTGCGACCGTACCTCGCTAAGGCTGATCTGGCCAGGGTGGTCCATGCCTTGGTCACCTCTAGATTGGACTACTGCAATGCGCTCTACGTGGGGCTGCCCTTGAAAATGGCTCGGAAATTCCAACTGGTCCAACGGGCAGCGGCCAGGATGTTAACCGGGGCTCATTACAGAGAGAGGTCAACCTTCCTGTTTAAGGAGCTCCACTGGCTGCCGTTTACTTACCGAGCCCAATTCAAGGTGCAGGTGCTTACCTACAAAGCCCTGAACGGTTTGGGACCACCCCACCCTACATTCCCAGCTGGAATGTGTCCAGAGGAGAGCGACTAAAATGATAAAAGGTCTGGAGAACATTGATAAAAGGTCTGGAGAACAAGCCCTATGAGGAGTGGCTTAAGGAGCTGGGCATGTTTAGCCTGAAGAAGAGAAGGCTGAGAGGAGATATGATAGCCATGTATAAATATGTGAGAGGAAGCCACAGGGAGGAGGGAGCAAGCTTCCTTTCTGCTTCCCTGGAGACTAGGACGCAATGGAGGAATGGCTTCAAACTACAAGAGAGGAGATTCCATCTGAACATTAGGAAGAACTTCCTGACTGTGAGAGCCGTTCAGCAGTGGAACTCTCTGCCCTGGAGTGTGGTGGAGGCTCCTTCTTTGGAAGCTTTCAAACAGAGGCTGGATGGCCATCTGTCAGGGGTGATTTGAATGCAATATTCCTGCTTCTTGGCAGAATGGGGTTGGACTGGATGGCCCATGAGGTCTCTTCCAACTCTTTGATTCTTTGATTCTGTGATTCTACCTGCGTGACCGCATCTCCGTTTATGAACCCACGCGTTCACTTTGGTCATCCGGAGAGGCCGTGCTCGCAATCCCACCTGCATTGCAAGCCATTTGGTGGGGACACGAGACAGGGCCTTTTCTGTGGTGGCCCCCCGTCTCTGGAACACTCTCCCCAAAGATCTTAGACAGGCCTCGACATTGGCAGTCTTCAGAAAGAACTTGAAGACCTGGCTGTTCCGATGTGCCTTCTCAGATTAGGAAAACTCCAACAACAAGTCCCAGAATCACTTTAGTAGAACCAAGATTGCTGTACTCTGCACACTGCGCTTACCCCATAATCCTTACATACCACCTGTCACATCAGCACTTTTAATTCTGTAGCCTTTACTCTGGCCCGGCCCAGTTTTATAGTGTCTTGGTGTATTGTTTATTGCTTGTTGTTTAATATTGCTTTAACTGGGTTGTTGTAGGTTCTTCCGGGCCATATGGCCATGTTCTGGAGGCAATTTTTCTCCTGACGTTTCGCCTGCATCTGTGGCAAGCATCCTCAGAGGTAGTGAGGTCTGTTGGAACTAGGAAAATGGGTTTATATATCTGTGGAGCAGATATATACAACAACCCAGTGATCCCGGCCATGAAAGCCTTCGACAATACATTGCTTTAACTGTTTTTAATTTGCTTTAGGTTGTGTATTGTTATATTGTGTTTTGAGGCCTTGGCCTTTGTGAGCCGCATCGAGTCCTTTGGGAGATGCTAGCGGGGTACAAATAAAGATAATAATAATAAATATTGGGGTCCTCCCCTATGAGTATGAGTCCAAAATCCCAAACCCAGGTGACTTGGGGCCAGTCGCAGGTGGCGCCCGAAAGGGCTTCGGTGTTGATTGTGCTTCTCTTCTCTTTAGGAAATATTGGCGGAAGTTGGCCACGGGCTCCGAGTCCCTCGCGGGTCCCCTGCGCATCCAGGACACCTGGCCGGCCCTCCCCAGCACCATCGACGCCGCCTTCCAGGACCGGATGACCAAGAAGGTCTTCTTCTTCGCAGGTGAGGCCGCCCTCCCGCCACCCTTCGGACCCTTGACCCCTTGTCACCAAAAAGGTTCCAGAGGGAATGATGGGACCGTCTTGCCAGTGAAGACGTGGTGACCATGGGGCTGCCACCAAAAAGGCTCCAGAGGGAATGATGGGACAGTCTTGCCATTGAAGACATGGTGACCATGGGGCTCATTACTTTGTGCAAGCTTAGCATGCACTAGACTCTTCTGCAAGCTCAGGTTGGATCTACGCTGCCGTAACCTACATTAGATAGGTCTACACCAGGGATGGGGAAACTTTAGCCCTTCCTCCAGGTGTTTTGGACTTCAGTTCCCACAATTCCTGGCTTCAGGCCCTTTCCTTTTCCCCCTCAGCCGCTTAAGCCAGGAATTGTGGGAATTGAAGTCCAAAACACCTGGAGGAAGGGCTAAAGTTTACACTTTGGTCTCTACTGACCATACTTGGTCTATACTGACCATACATGGTATTATACGGCAGAGTAGATCCAGCCTGGGTTTTCAATAAGTGAGTCTTCTGTGAAAATGGTGGAGTCTCCTCCTCTGGAGGCTTTTCAGCAGGATCTGGATGGCCATCTGTCGGGAGGGCTTGGATGGTGTTTCCCTCCTTGGACTGGATGGCCTTGGGGTAACTCACACCTTGAGAATTCCATGATTGTCCTCCTCCATGGGGGGTTGGCCACCACTTTTTTCGTGTCTCTTACACATTCATCCCTTCTCAGTATGCCCTTAGGTGAGGATCAGGCAGGCCTCCAGATGTTGTTGAACTACAACTCCCAACACTCCTTGCCGTTGGCTCTACTGGCCAGGGATGTTATGGGTTCTGGATCTAGGATCTTAGGGCGCTATGGAAATGTTTTGCCTTACTTGAAGGTTGACTGGATTTTGGAATTGCATTATATGGTCAGCGTGGATCCATAGAATGAGGTCCAAACTGCACTGTATGGGTCTGGACTGACCATATAGGTAGTGTTGCTCCAAATGCCATTATATGGCAGTGTAGTTATAGCCTCATATTTATTTATTTATTAATCAAATGCCTAAAAATAAATATCAATATTATTTATTTATTTACAGTATTTCTATTCTGCCCTTCTCACCCCGCAGGGAACTCAGGGCAGATTACAATGTACACATAATGGCAAACATTCAATGCCATAGACACACAACATATATAGACAGACACTCAGAGGCTATTTAACATTCCAGCTTTTCTTGAGGGTATTGTGGCCACCAGGGGAGCTGTGCCTTCACCCTCCATTTGGAACACCGATGGAGTACTTCCTCATTCTTTGCATGCTTGCTGGAAATTTTTATGGCCTCATAAATTAGTTAAGTTAGCCTCCCCGCATAAGCGGTACCTAAATTTCCTACTTGACAGATGCAACTGTCTTTCGGGCTGCAAAGGTCAACAGCAAGCTTCACAAATTGGTTGGAAGCTCACTCCAACAAATTGGTTGGAAGCTCACTCCAGCTGGCTTCAAACTCATGACCTTCTGGTCAATAGTGATTTTAATACAGCTGACTCCCAACCAGCTGTGCTACAGTCCCTAATGTCTTGCTCCTAATTTTCGGCAATTCATGGCTTTCACCTGCCCACAAAGACACCCCAGTCCCAGCGGAGGCCCAGTTGTGGACTGGTGATGGTCTAGGGTCATCCACCAGTACGAGGTCTCTGTGAGTCAATGGCCAGAGTCCAAAGGCCTTCCTGCTCTTAGAATTAGAATAACTTTCTTGCCATTGTTGCAAAACAAACACCAATCTCTCTCTCAGCCTATTTGTCCTTGTTTTTGTCACCCTGTGCCATCTGCCAGTTGTTAATTACTGAAAAAAAAGAAGACTATCCAGGGTGAGACGGATCCGTAAGAATATTCTGAGCGTTCTTAAGGCAGTGGGAATTATAAAGTTCTTCCAAAGAGGGAATCATAGAATCCTAGAATCAAAGAGTTGGAAGAGACCTGCTGGGCCATCATCCAGTCCAACCCCATTCTGCCAAGAAGCAGGAATATTGCATTCAAATCACCCCTGACAGATGGCCATCCAGCCTCTGTTTAAAAGCTTCCAAAGAAGGAGCCTCCACCACACTCCCTCTGGGGCAGAGAGTTCCACTGCTGAACGGCTCTCACAGTTAGGAAGTTCTTCCTCATCTTCAGGTGATTTGAAGTGACAAGTGGAGTGCCACAAGCAGGGTTCCATCCTGGGCCCGGTCCTGATCAGGAATCTTTATTAATGACTTAGATGAAGGGTTAGAAGGCAGGATCATCAAGTTTGCAGACGACACCAAATTGGGAGGGATAGCCAACACTCCAGAACCTCATGTTCAGATGGAATCTCCTTTCTTGTAGTTTGAAGCCATTGTTCCATTGCGTCCTAGTCTCCAAGGAAGCAGAAAACAAGCTTGCTCCCTCCTCCCTGTGGCTTCCTCTCACATATTTATACATGGCTATCATATCTCCTCTCAGCCTTCTCTTCTTCAGGCTAAACATGCCCAGTTCCTAAGCCGCTCCTCATAGGGCTTGTTCTCCAGAGCCTTGATCATTTTAGTCGCCCTCCTCTGGACACATTCCAGCTTGTCAATATCTCTTGAATTGTGTTGCCCAGAATTGGACACAATATTCCAGGTGTGGTCTAACCAAAGCAGAAATAGAGCATGGGGAGCATGACTTCCCTGGACCTAGACACTAGACTCCTATTGATGCAGGCCAAAATCCCATTGGCTTTTTTTGCCGCCACATCACATTGTTGTCTCATGTTTAACTTGTTGTCCACGAGGACTCCAAGATCTTTTTCACACGTACTGCTCTCGAGCCAGGCGTCCCCCATTCTGTATCTTTGCATTTCGTTTTTCCTGCCAAAGTGGAGTATCTTGCATTTGTCCCTGTTGAACTTCATTTTGTTAGTTTTGGCCATCATCTCTCTAATCTGTCAAGATCGTTTTGAATCCTGCTCCTGTCCTCTGGAGTCTTGGCTCTCCCTCCCAATTTGGTGTCGTCTGCAAACTTGATGATCCTGCCTTCTAGCCCTTCATCTAAGTCATTAATAAAGATGTTGAACAGGACCGGGCCCAGGACGGAACCCTGCGGCACTCCACTTGTCACTTCTTTCCAAGATGAAGAGGAAGCATTAGTGAGCACTCTCTGTGTTCGTCCACTTAACCAATTCCAGATCCACCTCACCGTAGTTTTGCCTTGCCCACATTGGACTAGTTTCCTTGCCAGAAGCAAGAGGGTACCCAATCATTCTCTGGGCAGAGGTGATAAGTAACCTGCTTTCCTACCTGCCATTGATCAATGAGCAAACCATATCCAGATGCAAGCCTTCCAACCTTGTGCGCAACCCATGTTCTCTCAGGGCCAGTGGGGAGTCTGTTGGAACTGCGAGGTCAAATTGGTAGCCTTGAGACCCAGCACCCCCTTTATTGAGACCCCCTTCTTTGTGTCCCTCAGGGCAGCGCTTTTGGGTGTACCAGGGGACGCGGGTCTTGGGCCCCCGCAGCATCGAGAAGCTGGGCCTCGGCAGAGACGTCCAGAAGATTGTGGGCGCCATCCAGCGCAAGAACGGCAAAGTCCTCCTCTTCAGCGGAGAGCGGTTCTGGAGGTAGAAAGGGGGGGTGTCTTTGGGGAGCGGGGACCCAAAGGTCACGCGGGCAAGCCCCTCTTGCTTGTTCTGAGAGGAATCCCCAATTGGGGGGGGCATTCTAGAGAGCACACCATGGCACCCGAGGGAAGGCAGCAAGAGACCAAGAAGCAGGGGTTTCCCAAGATCTGTAATTGGTTAAATGGATGAACCCAGAGGGTGCTCAGCAATGCTTCCTCTCATCCTGGAAAGAAGTGACAAGTGGAGTGCCACAAGCAGGGTTCTGTCCTGGGCCCGGTCCTGATCAGGATCTCCATTCATGACTTAGATGAAGGGCTAGAAGGCAGGATCATCAAGTTTGCAGACGGGACCAAATGGGGAGGGAGAGCCAAGACTCCAGAGGACAGGAGCAGGATTCAAAACGATCTTGACAGATTAGAGAGATGATTGGCCAAAACTAGCACAATGAAGTTCAACAGGGACACATGCAAGAGACTCCACTTTGGCAGGAAAAACGAAATGCAAAGAGACAGAATGGGGGACGATGAGGCCTGGCTCGAGAGCAGGATGTGTGAAAAAGATCTTGGAGTCCTCGTGAACAAGTTAAACATGAGCCAGGAATGTGATGTGGCGGCAAAAAAAGCCAATGGGATTTTGGCCTGCATCAAGAGGAGCCTAGTGTCTAGATCTAGGGAAGTCATGCTCCCCCTCTATTCTGCTTTGGTTAGACCACACCTGGAATATTGTGTCCAATTCTGGGCACCACAATTCAAGAGAGAGATTGACAAGCTGGAATGTGTCCAGAGGAGGGTGACTAAAATGATCAAGGGTCTGGAGAACAAGCCCTATGAGGAGCGGCTTAAGGAGCTGGACATGTTTAGCCTGAAGAAGAGAAGGCTGAGAGGAGATATGATGAGGGCCATGTATTGGACACAATATCACAGGTAAAGTGGTCTAACCAAAGCAGAATAGAGCATGGGTAGCTTTACTTCCCTGGACCTAGACACTAGGCTCCTCTTGATGCAGGCCAAAATCCCATTGGCTTTTTTTGCCACCACATCACATTCCTGGCTCATGTTCCCCTTCTTCCTCCCCACGAGGACTCCAAGATCTTTTTCACACGTCCTGCTCTCGAGCCAGGCCTCATCGTCCCCCATTCTGGGGATTTCTGGTTACGAAGCAGGTTCAATTGACTTAGAGCAGTTCCAAACACATCCATTCCAGTAAGCGACTAGACAAGAAGAACACAGTAGGCAGTACAAAGGAAGTAGAAGCACAAACAATTCTGCAGCTGCTTGGCAGATACTCCCTAATTCCTCACAACTCAGCACGGAGAGTATCTCAGGGTAACTTTCTCACAGCCTCAAACATAAACATACATCACAGCAATACAACCGTGTGGCATCCATATTACAACTACGTGAAATCACATTTAAACACATGACATACTTCAACATATTCTGACATTTTGAAGAACTGGAGGAGAGCCTGGCCCTTGCCACCAACAGCTGACCACCCTCAGGAATGTGGTGGGGCCACCAGAATGGAGCTGCCCAAGCCCCCCCCCCCCCCCCCCCCGCACTCTGAAGAATAATGAGAACTGGGGGTAAAAGGCCACAATTTGGCCCCATTCGGCTTCACAACCTGGCTTCTTTTCCACCTCCAGGCTGGACGTGAAAGCAGAGCGAGTGGACAAGGGCTTTCCACGCTACACAGACACGCTCTTCGCGGGCGTCCCGCTGGACTCCCAGCATGTCTTCCTCTACAAAGGTAAGGAGGCCCAGCATCAGGGCAGGTGGGCAAGGGGAGGGGTGCCCAGGGGGGCCAATGATACACCTGGGAGGAGGGTGGGGGGTTTCAAGGGGGCCTGAGGAAGAGCCCCCTCCCCACACACACACCCTTTCCAACTGCCTTGAACTGGGTCCCTCCAAACAAGCTGTGTCTTCCCTCCTTTCTTCCATATTTCATTTTCTCCCTCCCTCCTTTGCTTTCTCCTTCTCTTTTTTCTCTTTCCCTCCCTCCTTTCCTTTCACCTACCCTATCCTTCCGTCCTTCTCTTTCTTCTGCTCCTCTTTCTCCTTCCTTCCTTCCTTCCTTCCTTCCTTCCTTCCTTCCTTCCTTCCTTCCTTCCTTCCTTCCTTCTTTGCTTCCCTCCTCCTTTTTCTTTTCTTTCCCACCCTCCCTTTTCCTTTTTCCTTCATCTTCTAATCTTCCTCCCTCCCTCCCTCCTTTGCTTTCTCCTTCCTTCTCCTTCTTCTCCTCCCCTTTCCTTCCTTCTCTCCCTTTCACCTTCTCCATCTTTCGTTCTCCTTCTCTTCCTCTTTCCTTCCTTTCCTCCTTCCCTCCTCTGCTGTCACCCCTTTTTCCTTCTCTCTCTTCTGCTCCTCTTTCTTTTCCTTCCTTCCTTTGCTGTCTCCTCCCTTCCTTTTTCTTTTCTTTCCCACCCTCCCTTTCACCTTTTCCTTCTGCCCTTCATCTTCTAATCTTCCTCCCTCCCTCCCTCCTTTGCTTTCTCCTTCCTTCTCCTTCTTCTCCTCCCCTTTCCTTCCTTCTCTCCCTTTCACCTTCTCCATCTTTCGTTCTCCTTCTCTTTCTCTCTCTTCTCTTTCCTTCCTTTCCTACCTCTCCTCTCTCTCTTCCCCCTTCCTTTTTTCCTCCCTTCTTTCCTTCTCTTCTTCCTTCCTCCTTCCTTCCTTCCTTCCTTCCTTCCTTCCTTCCTTCCTCCCTCCTTTCCTTCCTTCCTTCTCATCCTTCCTTCCTTTTCCTTCTTTTCCTCCATTTCATTCCTTCTCTCCCTTTCACCTTCTCCACCTTTCCTTCTCTTCTCTTTCCTTCCTTTCCTCCATCCTTCCTCTGCTGCCCCTTTCCTTTCTTCTCTTTTTTCTCCTTCTCTTTTTTCTCCTCCTCTTTCTTCTCCTTCCTTCCCCTTCTCCCTCAATTCCTCCTTTCAATTCCTTCTCTCCTTCTTCTTTTCCAGGGAAATACCACTTCTGCCAGGCCCCCTTCTGCTGGCAGGTGAATGCCCAGTACCAGGTGGACAAGGTGGGCTACCTGAAGTACGACGTCCTGAAGTGTCCGGAGCAGCAGTAGGGCCCGTCAGCTGGACGCCAGGGGACCCTCCTGTGACCCCATTTCCTGTGGCCCCGGGGCCCCTGGGCCATTATCCCTTGTTGCTTTAGCCCCGGCTTGGGCTACCAGTCCTTGGAGACGGCTGCCATGGGGTGCCAGTGTGGCAAGGAGCGGACTGCCCAGCCTCCTTGGCTAGAGGCCTTGCTAAAGCCTTGCTGGATGCAGGAGTTCCGACTGCTGCCACGGAACGGATGAGGCTCAGAGACATTTTGCTTGGCTGTGAACTTGCTGCAAGGGCCCCGCTCTCCTTGCCAGGAAGAGAATGACACTCCTTAGCCTTCACACACACACACACACACAATATAAGGCCTCTGTCTTGGCTGCACTCAGTTTCATGTTGCAGCTCTCGCCATCTTGCGCACGTTTGCAATAAAAGAGATCCTGGACCATCGGAAGCGTCTCACATTATTGCATTGCATTGCATTGATTGCACAGCTTGGAAAGCCCGTGAAGACGTTCGATTGCTGGGTTAGCATTGCATCTATTGTGCAAAAGGAGTGCAATTCACCACCACTTGGGTTGCTTTGCTTCTCAGGTTAAGATAGAAAAGCAGGATGTAAACAACAACAACAGCCGCACCTCAGTGCTATGCAATCCTGGTTTATTTGTCGTTTGATGGGGCACCAGCATTCTTGGGCAAAGGTGTCTAAAGGCCTTGTGCAACTACAGCTCCCAGGATCCCATAGCACTGGGTCATGGCACTTGATGTGGTCTCGAACTGTATTAATGCAACACTCTAGATCAGTTTTTCTCAACCTTTCTCATGCCGCCACCCCTTAATACAGTTCCTCATGTTGTGGTGACCCCCAACCATAACATTATTGTATTGTCGAAGGCTTTCATGGCCGGACTCACTGGGTTGTTGTAGGTTTTTCTGGGCTATATGGCCATGGTCTAGAGGCATTCTCTCCTGACGTTTCGCCTGCATCTATGGCAGGCATCCTCAGAGGTAGTGAGGTCTGTTGGAACTAGGAAAAAGGGGTTATATATCTGTGGAATAATGTCAAAGGTGGGACAAAGGACTCTTGTCTGCTGGAGCTAGGTGTGAATGTTTCAACTGACCACCTTGATTAGCATACAATGGGCTGACTGTGCCTGGAGCAAACTTTTGTTGAGAGGTAATTAGACGTCCCTGCCTGCTTCCTCCCTAAAATTATTTATTTTAATTTATTAATTTAATTAATAATTTTATTATCATAAAATTATTTTCCTTACTACTTCACAACTGTCATTTTGCTACTGCTATCAATCATAATGTAAATATCTGAAATACAGGATGTATTTTCATTCACTGGACCAAATTTGGCACAAATACCCGATACGCCCAAATTTGAATACTGGTGGAGTTGGGGAGGCGGGGGTTGATTTTGTCATTTGGGAGTTGCTGGGATTTATAGTTCACTTGCAATCAAAGAGCATTCTGAACTCCACCAACGATGTTATTGGGCCAAACCTGGCACAGAGAACTCCCATGGCCAACAGAAAATACTGGAAGGGTCTGGTGGGCATTGACCTTGAGTTTGGGAGTTGTAGTTCACCTACATCCAGAGAGCACTGTGGACTCAAACAATGATGGATCTGGACCGAATACTCAGTATGCCCAAAGGTGAACACTGGTGGAGAAACTATTTGGGGAAAATAGTTGTAGTTGCTGGGATTTATAGTTCACTTGCAATCAAAGAGCATTCTGAACTCCACCAACGATGGAATTGAACCAAACTTGGCACACAGAACTACCATGACCAACAGAAAATGCTGGAAGGGTTTGGTGGGAATTGACCTTGAGTTTTGGAGTTGTAGTTCACCTACATCCAGAGAGCACTGTGCACTCAAAGAATGATGGATCTGGCCAACTTGGCACAGATACTCAATATGCCCAAATGTGAACATTGGTGAAGTTTGGGGAAAATGACTTGTCATTTGGGAGTTGTAGTTACTGGGATTTATAGTTCACCTACAATCAAAGAGCATTCTGAACTCCACCAACGATGGAATTGAACCAAACTTGGCACACAGAACTCCCATGACCAACAGAAAATACTGGAAGGATTTGGTGGGCATTGACCTTGAATTTTGGAGTTGTAGTTCACCTACATCCAGAGAGCACTGTGGACTCAAACAATGATGGATCTGGACCGAATACTCAGTATGCCCAAAGGTGAACACTGGTGGAGAAACTATTTGGGGAAAATAGTTGTAGTTGCTGGGATTTATAGTTCACTTGCAATCAAAGAGCATTCTGAACTCCACCAACGATGGAATTGGGCCAAACTTGGCACAGAGAACTCCCATGGCCAACAGAAAATACTGGAAGGGTCTGGTGGGCATTGACCTTGAGTTTGGGAGTTGTAGTTCACCTACATCCAGAGAGCACTGTGGACTCAAACAATGATGGATCTGGACCGAATACTCAGTATGCCCAAATGTGAACACTGGTGGAGTTTGGGGAAAATAGTTGTAGTTGCCGGGATTTATAGTTCACTTGCAATCAAAGAGCATTTTGAACCTCGCCAACGATAGAATTGGGCCAGACTTTCCACATACAACCCTCATGACCAACAGAAAATACTGTGACCATGGCATAGGTATATATATATATCTTGCATGGTCTTTAGTGACCCCTCTGACACTCCTGCATGACCCCTCCAGGGGTCCCGACCCCCAGGTTGAGAACCACTGGTCTAGATGCCTCCTAGGATTCCCGAGAGGCCAGGGTCCAAATCCTGGAAATCCTGGAAGCCCTGCTCTCTCAGCCTCAGAGGAAACCAGTGGCAAGCCTCTTCTGAGCAAACTTTGCCTTAAGTGGGAAATGGCTTGCAGGCGCAGAGCAAACACTGGAATAGGTCTCTATATATATACCTTGCATTTACCCGCACAGCTGGGACTCAAGGCTGCCTGCGAGAGGCAAAGAAAGGCTACTCACGTAGCTACACACTAAAAGGTAGGCTTGAAAGGGACGTGAAAGGCCGACGGAATTAAAAGCCACTTAAAACGAACCCATTTGGAAGTGGAAGATCGATAGCAGTAGGACACGTTGAGGAGAAGCCCTTCTATTGGCACTCCAGGCAGAAGCCTTTGGGGTTCTCGGCATCAAGGTTCTAGGCCAGGCTTGGGCCAACTTGGGCCCTCCCTCTTTCCAAGTGTTTTGGACTCCAAGTCCCAGCATTCCTAACAGCCTCAGGCCCTTACCTTTCCCTTTCAACCGCAGCATGGGGTTGGACTAGATGGCCCATGGGGTCTCTTCCCCCCAGTGCTCGAGGCGGGTCACAACACAGTTAACAACACACATATATTACAAAGGAAATTTGGAAAAAAATTGTTTTACACAACAGTGGCAGCTCGAATAGCATATGCCAGATATTCGAAAACCCCCAGAGATACCTCTTTTAGAAGAATTGGGAAACTACAATGACAGATATGCTGATCATGCATCACAGAATTATTGAACCATAGAATCGTAGAGTTGGAAGAGACCTCATGGGCCATCTAGTCCAAACCCATTCTGCCAAGAAGGAGGAAAATTGCATTCAAAGCTTACTTACTTACGTAGGTGATACCTTGTTGTCCAAGTAGGATAGTCTTCCAGGATCAGTGTCCTAGCGGTGGGTGCATAGGTGACTGTGGAGCTCTATTCTTGACCTGCATCTTCTCCCACAGTGAAGGCATCGGTTTCCAGGTGGAAGGCGGTCTTGGTTGGAGTAGGCTTGACACGCCTTCCTCTTGGCATGTTTCTCTCTTTTGCTCTCCACTCATGCCTCTTCAAATTCTGCAGCACTGCTGGTCACAGCTGACCTCCAGCTGGAGCGCTCAAGGGCCAGGGCTTCCCAGTTCTCAGTGTCTATGCCACAGTTTTTAAGGTTGGCTTTCAGTCCGTCGTTCAATCTCTTTTCTTGTCCACCAACATTCCGTTTTCTGTTCTTGAGTTCGGAGTAGAGCAACTGCTTTGGGAGACGGTGGTCTTTGGGCATCTGGACAACGTGGCCGGTCCAGCGGAGTTGATGGCAGAGGACCACGGCTTCAATGCTGGCGGTCTTTGCTTCTTCCAGCATGCTGACATTTGCCCGCTTGCATTGCATTGATTGCAGGTTGGAAAGCCTGTGCAGCCGTTTGGTTGTTGGGTTAGCATTGAATCTATCGTGCAAAAGGACTGCAATTCAGCGCCACTTGGATTGTTTTGCTTCTCAGGTTAAGATATAAAAACAGGATATAAATAACAACAGCCGCACCTGAGTGCTATGCAATCCTGGTTTATTTGTCGTTTGATGGGGCACCAGCATTCTTGGGCGAAGGTGTCTAAAGGCCTTTTGCAACTACAGCTCCCAGGATCCCATAGCACTGGGCCATGGCACTTCATGTGGTATTGAACTGTATTAATGCAACAGTCTAGATCAGTGTTTCTCAACCTTCCTCATGCCGCGACCCCTTAATACAGTTCCTCATGTTGTGGTGACCCCCAACCATAACATGATTTTCTTGCTACTTCATAACTGTCATTTTGCTACTGTTATCAATCGTCATGGGAATATCTGATATGCAGGATGTATTTTCATTCACTGGACAAAATTTGGCACAAATACCCAATATGCCCAAATTTGAATACTGGTGGAGTTGGGGGGGGGGAAGGGGGGAGGATTGATTTTGCAATTTGGGAGTTGTAGTTGCTGGGATTTATAGTTCACCTATAATCAAAGAGCATTCTGAACTCACACGATGGAATTGAACCAAACTTGGCACACAGAACTCCCATGACCAACAGAAAATACTGGAAGGGTTTGGTGGTCATTGACCTTGAGTTTTGGAGTTATAGTTCACCTACATCCAGAGAGCACTGTGGACTCAAACAATGATGGATCTGAACCAAACTTGGCACAAATACTCAGTATGCCCAAATGTTAACACTGGTGGAGTTTGGGGAAAATAGACCGGGCATTTGGGAGTTGTAGTTGCTGGGATTTATAGTTCACCTACAATCATAGAGCATTCTGAACTCAACCAACAATAGAATTGGGTCAAACTTCCCACACAGAATCCCAATGACCACCAGAAAATATTATGTTTTCTGATGGTCTTTGATGACCCCTTTGACACCCCCTCACGACCCCTTCAGGGGTCCCGACCCCCAGGTTGAGAAACACTCCACTGGACTGAAGGCCATGTTGTCCGAATGCCCAAAGATTGCCGTCTCCCGAAGCAATTCCTCTACTCTCAACTCAAGAACGAGAAATGGAATGTTGGTGGACAGGAAAAGAAAGATGGGCTTAAAGTCAACCTTAAAAACTATGGCATTGACACCCAGAGAGAACAGGGAAGCCCTGGCCTTTGTGCGCTAACTGATCATAGAATCATAGAATCATAGAATCAGAGTTGGAAGAGACCTCCTGGGCCATCATC